ACTGTATGCGACGCCAACTGCTTCAAAAGCACAAACGTTCACCGAATCAACAACATGCGCACACCAATACCAATGCCATGTCACATATAACCATCTCCCTCCCGTCCATTTTGTTTTTCTATTCGCGTCTCATGCATTTTCAGTCGACTACACATTCGAACAAAATGCCTATTTTCTCTGCTACTGAGCAGCTGAAAAATATTCGAACCAATCTTGGTCTTTCTGCATTATGTTCACGTATCGCGTCAACGTTTACTGCCAACGTTGAATAAATACTGCTTTCGACACAATAACTGCGACGCAGGGTTGGCCAAAGAAAATGGCTGTGTTTTATTTTCATTTCGTAAACAGATTTCAAAAACCAACCGTATTTCGAATGCTTTCGACATTTCGAAATGCAAAAATTTAAATTTTTTGCGCCATTCACGGAAATTGCACGCATTTCAATGGATTTTCATTGGATTTACGAATTTTAAATCCTATTTGAGTGTATTATTTGGATGATAAGAAAAAATGAATGGAATAAAAAGGCGAAAACATCGCTATCTCTCAGATTAATCTCATTTAATCCCACTCAATGGAATTGATCTCAGCTCGAAAATATTGAACAATTCAGCCAAATCGATGGATTGAAATGATTTCTCTGTGAAATTAAGAAGAATTTTGCGATTGACTGTAAATTTAAGCCGTATTCCAAGGTTTTTTAAGGGAAGACCAAAAATAGATACTCGTTGAACCGCATCCGTACGGTAATGTTACCGGTTCAAGTGGATATAATCCTCTCGACCAATTGGTTCTGTTTTCATTATTCACTTGGAAAATGGAATTCTTTTTGAGTTGTAGGTGAAAAACGATAATTGCTCACGTAAAGCAACTTTGGATTTCCGTTTTTTTTCACATTCTGATAAGAACTCTTATTTTATCAAAAGTAAGAATTTTTCGAACCATCGAACAGCCCACACGATTTCAGTTCATTAATGAGATTTATGTATACGCTCGAAATTGTTCAGCGTTCAATTTATAAATATGCTCTGTTCTTCGAAACTGAGTCAGTTCAATTGCCGCAACATAAACAAATATGAAAATTTCATAAAAACGAATGGAAACGCTGCACTGTAATTTTTTTTGAATTTGTTTACGTCATCAGATTTTAACATGATGTAAACTACAGAGATTGCTATTTGTTACATTCAACAATGAATCTCACATGTTTGAGAATAATAAGACTGGAACTTTGTTGGACGTGTGTTTATTTATTTTGGAATTATTGAATGAAGTGGAAACGTTGACATCATAGAGAGTTTTAAGGACATCATCTACTCGAGTAGGTCATAAAATATGATGTTTTATTGGGACAACACAGGCGTTTGGATTCATTGGGAATATAACCAGAATGAGGCAATGTAAGTGAGTATTGTCGATATTGCTACAGAGGCAACGAAGCAAATCTCTCATAAATTACGTAATACAATTTTTCTTCGAGGAATAAATAAATACGTCACCACTTGAAGTGTATGAACCAGTATGAAAGACATTGCATTGAATTCAGTTCAAATATGCCCAGAGAGAATGTTCTATTAATTAACTCTCATTTCAATAGTAATTGACACCATTCGCTTTATCGCCGCCAAATGGCCAAACGCGCGATTATTACAAATTGTGTCAATTTGTGTGCAACGGAACATGATTACAGAATGAGCGTTTAATTAAGGAGGTGAAACGAAATGGACGATAAGAATGTATTGAGAGAGAGAGAGAGAGCGCACGAGTCTATGATTCGCAATCAAAATGTGCATTCACAGAGAGAACACGATATGCGTCTGGAGCGAATGTTTCTCTTTCTTTTTTTTCTCTTCGTTTCGCAAGAGGCTAGTTTGCATTTTCTGTCCGTGTTTGTAGTCGGAGTTCATATTTCATACGTTGCTTTTTTTAAACTGGTTTCCATTTCGTATGCATTTTATTTCTGGGAATGTATTTTGCAACGACGTTCGGACGGTCATGGGTAAATACGGTGTGAGCTAGAGAATCGGTCTCCGGACAGCCGTTTCGTATTGTGCGTTACTTTGAACCGAAAATACTTATGCTTTGAAACGGTTTTATAGAGAATATAAATGGTTTGATGGTTAACCGAAATGGCGAAGAAAGAATTATGGATAGCATTTAATTGGACGAAATTTTTCGCATATGAATTTTCATTAGTGCTTCTAATGGATTCATTTGATTGTTTTTTTTATTGTTCTTTATCCATTCTTTTGCGCGTTGAACGAAGATTGGCAGTGCTGCAACTGATCCAATTCAATAAGATGCTGTTGCCTTTGAAGGTTTTGTACACTTACAACAACATTTTGTTTTCATACATAAAGCCTTCCGTTGATGTCTTAGCAAATGAATATGCATGAAATGCTCTTCGTCGATTGTGTGTATGGGCGTCGAATAAAATGGAATATAGTCGAGTTTGAGGGAAAAACTGATTAAATTTTGTTTGTACTGCGATTTAGGTATGATGTATTTGACGTTGAAAGAGGATTTATCCGCGTCACTGGAATTCCCAGACTTTGCACGGAATGTGGATTGTGCAAGAGAGGTATGGGTTTGGTTCGTTTCGTTTCGGTTCGGTTGTATGGAGCATAGCAGGAACTGGTTCAGTGCGATTGCTATTTGTTTGTTTACGGAGTATTTTTCGGTGCATTCGATATACCGAGTTTTCGTATATTGAGAGAAGTGTTGCATATAATAGAGAGAATTGTGTGTGCTTCTTTGGCAAATGTAAAGTTTGCGTGTTCTGTATATAAGTATAGAGCAGTTGTGTACAAGTTATAGAGACGTGAAGTGGAAGTACGGCTTGAATTCGGTTAAGATTTCGTACGTGCTCGTTTCGTACGATTTATGGGCCATACAGCAGCATGTTGACCAGGAGAATGGTTATACCTTTTGATTTTTTTTCTTTGGACACACAATTTTACCCATTTTGCTGGAGTTCTGAATGTTGCCAATTTTGATTCCATTTACATGGGAATTTTTTTCCTCATTATCATGGTCTTATAATCGATTTTCAAACATTTGTTCGAAGGAGAAAATTGAAATGAATATGAAGTGACTTCCAAACCCGAATAAGTATTTTAATGATGAAATCTGGACTGTTGTTGACTCTAATTAGCTGTTATTGGTTTTTCTTCGTTTCAAATTGTGTATTACAAAGTAGAATAAATTTTCATGGGATATCCCATCAGACGGTCTTATCGGTGAGTATCAAGACGGCACATATCTCGGTATCGCCGAATAAATTCGATATTCTAGCCGTGAATAATATGTTCATGATGCAGAGTCAGATCCAGAGTCACACGGTAGTTGTGAATAGCACTGCCAAATCAGTCTACAGTACACAGTGATGATGTTGGGAACAAAGACGACCAATACATATGACGCGATGAGCGCGTCGTCCATTTCGCTTGCACAGCGTTGTGTCGTCTCGCTTACGCACGTTGCGAGCGACGGTGAAGCGGTTGCTTATCGCCTTCGGCTACATACATGTTTCCGTCGATGCGAATGAGAGCGAACAAGATAGGATGATGATTATTGTGTACACACTGTATAGTGGTGCTGCACACGTATCGTTTGCAAGTATTTATAGAATTTGACTTCTTTTTTTTTTAAATACGAAATGGAAAAAAGGCAACGCGACTCAAATAAACACGATACATATATACAGCGATGAACGCATCACATTTTCTATATGCTTAGGTGACAGTGAATCGATACGTAGGTATTTTATTTTTGAAAGCGGATAAAAAATGCATTTAATGTAATTTTAAACAAATAATTTGGAAAGTGTGCTGTGGTGTTCACTACTCGTGAAATGCAGAAAAAAAAATAGTGCATTAGCCTGTGCGCAATCGTAGCAATACAATGGGTTCGAAAACAATGGATTGAAGCCCATTATGATGCAGTCGTTTGTACAATGTGTACGTGCTAGATGGATGCGGCGATATTTTACACAATTTTTTTTCTTCTCTTCGTTGCGTTCGACATTCCACTAGAACACTAATTATCGCATCGGTGCAAAATGTTCTAGTCGAACCGCGACACCAAATTAAGATTCAGATAACAACATTCGAAAGTTTTGCGTCTTTCCGCCTTTTTGGTCTTTCCGTCTTAATTAGAGATAAAAACCGCTTGCCGAAGAATATGCAAAGGAGACTGAAAATGCGAGCAATAAAATTTTATCGGAAGTTTAGTAAGAATGAAATCTCAACAATTTTACCAATATTCGGTTCATTAAGAAGTTTGAAAACAGTTAGTTGAAAAAGCAGTTGGAAATCTTCGATAGCAAATAAATCGCCCGAATAGGTTTCGTTTTCTGTTATCCATTTCGATATGTGTGTATGACTTGGTTTGGACGTTCCATTCGGAATATCAAATAGTCGTCTTCCAAATAAACGCGATTCATGTGAACATCGCGCGTTGTATCAAAATCGCGTCGATGGAAAGCAAAGCATACACCGAAAACACACGCATACACTGATACAAATACACACTCAGACAAATACACAGTCGCATCGGTGCGAAACACGAGCAACGGTTTGACGTGTGTATCGCATTCACACTGCTACATATATGTCTATAGGCAAATACATGCGCTCGTGTTTTCACCGACATGCACACACTATCACACGCAGAGAACGAACGTTGTTCGTATGATTAAACGTCAGAAAAAAATTCGTATTGTAGAAGAGTCGCCGACAAGCAATTTTCGTGTGTTATTTTCCACAACAAAGTTTAATCTTTCTTCTTTCTTCTATCATTTTCAAGCGATATCTCATTGTGCATCGTTTAATCAACGAATGTGTAAACAATCGCGTTTTAGCTAGTCAAATTTCGTTTGTTTGGAAATTTTTGGGTTTACCTCATTCAAAGTCGTATATTCCTACATCAGTTCAATTCATTTGATATTTGTAATCATCTGAAATAAGTTCACAGTGAAAAGTCGCTCGTTTGTGTGATTGAAATTCCGTTTGACTTGCATTTGAGTTTGTATGTGCGGTGAATTTCTGTGCATATAAATCAAGTTTTGGCGATTAGTTTGATCTGAATTCTACGTTTGCAAATAAAGCAGTCAACAAAGCTGTGGTACACCGTAAGTAAGTGTGTTTGTAGCTCTCGCTTACACTCTGTGCAATGCATCAAATATATTATTCGCTTTGTTTGTATGTGAGTGTGTATGTCGTGCGTATGTCAGCTGTTTGGCGTTGCTTTTTTCTCCTCTGTGTGTTTGGTTGCCTATTTCTATACTGAGTGCAGATTTTGAAGTGGATTGTGTCAATGTGCCTACGAAACTATCGCAATGAGCGTTTTTTTTCTCGGCAACACGGGAACAACGTTACGTTTTTCATGGGTTTGGCAATTTACGTCAACCAAATATGTATCACTTCATTCATAAAATAATCAAAACCATTTGAACTTAAACAAATCGAATGATCGCATTAAAATGACTAGTCATTTTGTATTAACCCTTTAATGTCCACTTCGTAGGGAAATGATGAAGTCACAGTTTTAAATGCGGTGTGAACTGAAATCAATCACACTCTTAAGATAATTAAATATAGAAAATTCATTGAAAATCGAGCGATAAGATAAAAATATTCTTTGGAAAAAAAAAATCACATTCATAAGCTTATCGAAAGTAATTCGGATGCTAAGAGGTTAATTGGCAGTTAATCTGTTATTCTTATCGAGAGTGATAAAATGAACGGGAAAAATAAATGTTCAAGAGACACTTTAAATTTATTGAATTTTTTTTAAAACATATATTGCTGTTGCAACGATTGAGTTGATATTTTACAGTATTCAAAATAATTCGGTTGACCTAAATGCGCTACTGAGATACACAGCTAATGTGTGCGCACATGTGTACAAGCGTGAAAACTGAACAAAAGTGAACATTTGTTGACAAACTAGTTCCGCATGTTTTTTTTTTTATCAAGGACTTGGATTGATCTTGTCATACGTTCCATGCTGAGCTGAGCTATTTACATGGAAATTGCCAAGTGCACATGGGTAAACGTTGCATTGAGCATTCGGATGGAAGTGGAGCACAAACCAGAAGAACAATGAAAGCCTGTGTACAAAGAAGAAGACAATTGGTCCGCAATTACACAAAGAGACAAGCGCTGCACAAAAAATGGGAGAAAATTACAACTTTTGACTTTAAAGGGATCTCCACACTCCACACAAAAAAAACTCGACGGGAAAAAAAAGAGATCCGAATTAACTTTAAATACAGTTCAGAAGAATACAAATCGATTAGCAGTGAAAAATAAAAGAAGAAGTGGAATGGGCAGAAGAAGAGAAAAAGAGATTGAGTGAGAGAGAAGAAAACGAAAGGTAAGGCTCATAGACGTGCGAAAATGAGTCAAAGCATCGAAGCAGGTATATGATATAACAATAAAGTGGCATTATCGAAATGCCCATAAAAACTTTTATTGGGTTTTCGAGGTGATACAAGGTAATCAGATTCGGTGTGAGTGCAAAGTAAAAAAAAAGGAAATTTCTCATGAAACCAGCCATGATTTTTCTTCGGTTTGATTGGGCTCGAGTTTTCGGATTGGGTAGTGAATAAAATCATCAAATTTATTTGTATGACTTATACGATCGGTTCATTCGTTTTTCATTCGCGTCGGAGAGATTGAAACAGGAGATATTCTTTTATCACTATCATCCATGAATGTGTGACACTCTCATCTCTCTTGCCGTAACGCTGCTATTGACAAACACGGCATTTGTATGCGTACGCCTTTTGTTTGTGTCGTGTGAGTTGTTCAGTGTGTTTTTTTTTTCTTCTCAACTTCTCGGCAACTCCGAATAACACAAATGACGGAGACAAGCACAGAGGTGAAGAAACACAAAGAGAAAACAACGAAGAAAGGTAAACACACAGCCAACGTTACGTTTCTATAGAAAAGCTCATATATTAAACCGAAATTACTAACCTAACCAATAATTATTATATGAGTGTATTATTGTCTCGTTGCTCTCATTGTTTGGTGCTTCGTTCGTTCGTATTGGTTTCTGATGATGAGCGCGCCAAATGAGCCGGGTATGTGTGCAAACGATACGACGTATGTGAGATTGAGATAGAGCGTGTATGTGCGGTATTGTTGCGGCTAATCATTTTATTATTATATAGTGGTGCTGGCACGTTATTATATTGAAAATCCAACATGCAGAGAGATCATAAACTGAATGAATTGATGATTATTGGCTGTAGCGACGACACCAATGCGGGAGAGGTTTTTTTTCTCTCTCTCTCTCTGATATTTTTATTTCTTGCTTTTTTTTATTTTCGTCGCCGTTACTTGACGAATTGAGCTGTGCGCTTGATAAATTGGCATTCACTGTGCGAGTTTTTTTTTAAATGTTTACCATTGTGAGGCGCGCAAAAGGAATCGCTTATTTACTTAATATGGTTAAGTTGTATGAAAACGGCCGCTCTCAATGCCAAATAATATGACAATCAAATCCATTGAATTGAAGCCGTGTGCCGGTTGTCGTCAAAGCGAATGAAATATTCTCGGCGCAGAAGCAGCACACAAATCGCTCCAAGTTATCGGTGCCACAGTCACAATAAAGTGGGAAAATGTACACATGTTTTTTTTTCGCATAACAATCGCACTTGATGCCGGCACTAGGACTAAATCACGTTCTGATGTAATTCCACATAATTTCTTGTTCCGCTCATTCTTTTCGTCTCTTTTTTTCTCTGCTGATCCAGTAAATCAAGCAATGAATTACGGTTTTTCAAGAAAGAAAAACGTCAGCCAGAATTCTGTCGCTTTTTATTTTTGTATCATGACGAATGCAACTGGTTTTTTTTTCGTAACTCCATTTCTAAATTGAATTTCAATTACGCTGAGGCGGTAATTTCGTTACACTTCGCCGTTAGATGATGATGACGAAAGAAAAAAAAACATTAACTTTCGTGCCTCTTTTCAAGTACGCGAAGAAAAAGGTCACCGATTTCATTCGTTTTTACGATTCCAAATTCAAATGAACTTTACGCTTGAACGAACCGGCGAACGCATAAAGTGCCGATACGCACTTTGTATCGAAATGCCGTCGGTTGTTTGTGAAATGTAGCCACACAAAATATCTCTGCTTTTGAGTGTATCGAATCAGAATAATTTTCAGGAATAAAGTAATTTTTGTTGTTGGACTTTTTCGGTTGTAGAAAAAATGGTACATAAAGGCTGTTGATTGAAATGGGATTTACGGCTCGCATTTCCATCGATAGAGCTGACAACAACGATTGACATCTTCATTTGAATTTTTAATAATTGGAATGAATGGGAAAGGCAAAAGAAAGAGAAGATTGATGGTGAGAGTGGAGAGAGCCAATAGAACACAATAATTGAAACACCATCCAAAGCCATAAATTATTTCGGAGTCATGAAGTCAGTCGACGTTGTGTGCGGACAACAATTAAGACAGTTCTCTGGCTTATAGAGATGCTTCACCACTACATACATACGTAATGCTGTTGTGTCCGTCAACACCGCAAGAGACCATTCTTGTCCTTTGCAACAGTCAGAATGAAAAATGAATGGAATAAATTCCATGTGAAATAATAATGAAACTAAACCTCGGTTGGAATATTTGAGGCGGACGTTTATACAGTGCGTTGTCACATGCAAGCGATAGGGCTTTAAACTCATGTGTAGCGTGTATATTGAGAGGATTGAGTCTCAAATCATCCTCGAAATTGAAGTTTCATTGGATTCCCGAAACGAAATCAATGTGATGCCGGCATGATAAGATCGGTTGTGCTTCGATTCGTATCACAAACGTGTGACGCTCCTTGCGCACAGTGCGACCAACAACAACAAAGGCAACAATGAAGGGGGAAACAAATATATCCAAACAAACCTAATTTGATGGTATGTTACGCACATAAACGACGAAGTAGCAGCCTGTGCCATACTGAACACTATGGCAACATAAAACTGTTATCAAGTGTGATTCTGCTACTTTCGCCGATGTAATGGTCTGGAGTAGCACGGCGATAAGAGAAAATTTCCTGCGGCACAAGGCCGCATAGAAAAACGCCCCGACCAACTGATGTGGTGCGAGTGTTGTTCATGTAACGAACGGAAAAGTTGCTGTACTTGCCGCTTAATTTAAATTTAAATTATGGTTTTCCGGAAAGGCGGAAAAACCAAAGAGTTTTTTTCGATTCGTTTTTTTTCTCTTTATCTATCAGTTTACTGTGGTGAGAACGGTGCTGACGCTCCGCGTTGACACCACTTCACTCGTTAGCACATTGAATGTCGTGTCAAAGGATTGAGGCGCGTGTTCAGGGAAGAAAAAGCGGTCGTCGAAAAGCAAACATAAGGATCAAAGCAAGCGTGGCTTTTAGCCAGTTTTTATTTATTTTCTCTGTTGCACGAACATCAAAATTCAATGAGATGAAATACATTTGTACGACAACGATCATAATTCAAATCGTATGTATCGTGGAGCTTGAGAGAATAAATTCGAGTCAAATGAATAAATTGTGGAAAAGTAGTGTTCGAGAAAAAGACGAGTAGGAGAAAAAGGCGAAAAAATGCTTGGCTCACAAAAACTCGTCGATTTGAAACCGAACGAAAGAAGAAGAACAAAAAAAACCGTCCACACCGAGCAGAGGAAAAACAAAACGAAAGAGAGCGAAAAAGAGGAAAAAAAGTAAATCGAAAAACACATCCAAGAATAAAGGCGACAGCAGCAACAACAACAACAACAACAACGTGATTCGGTTCTTTTTTCTTTCTCGCTCGTTTTCTTTTTGTTTAAAAACTCAACCGAGTGTTTCGAGCTGCCTTTCCTCTATGCCACTCTCTCTCTGTGTGTGTGTCGCTTTGTTTCACTCACAGTCGTGTTTCGTCTATCCTCGCTCTTTCTTCTTTACCCATCTCCGTGTGTTTGCTATGCGTCCGTCGATAATACTGTTTGGAATGCACGAAAGCATTCAACGTGTTTGCGATAGAACGATATTCGCTGCGCACCGGAACGAGACAGACGATAAGCGCTCGAACAATTTATTCCATGTATGAATTGAAACAAGACAAGAAAAGAATTATATCGAAAAACTGAAGGAACTGA